CTTATTTGAATTATGCACTCACATTTGGATCCTTCTCACCTTGTGTGCATTGCATTGAAGCATCAAAGCAAGTTGTCTTCATGTTATCCATAATCTTACACTATTTATGCATTCCTGTTTTTCTGATTTCTTTTTTGGAAAGGAGTTATTTCCCAATTTTCCTCCTTGATCTGGAATATTGAGTTCATTTTCATTTAAACTATCAGCAGACATTACAGAAAAAGAAAATAAGTACACACCTCAGCTGAATGTGAATGCAGGTATCATTAGCGAATGTATAATGGCCTGGATTTTCCAATTGCCAGATGGTTGTTTCTGCAGCGTCATGGTGTCTCTGTAATTCCATAGATTTATCAAAGAACGGATTGATGGTGCTAAAGGTTGCATTAGGACCCAGCAGACTCCAAGAGAATTGTCTGTGAAATTGAAAATTCTGATAAGCAGTTTCCTTTCACCTGAAATCCTACAAGGATGTCTAGTTAAATTGGAGACTTTTGAGAGGTCTGCTGCGGTTAAGTTAATCAGAAAATGTTAGATTAAAAACATAGGCTAACTCCTAGGTAACTATTAAATTGACTCCTCAACTCACCATTTGCCCCTAAGTACAGATTCCCAAGATCCCTTAGAACCCCTGGTGCTGAACCTGACAATCCTACCCACTTGGCAGCAAGGCCTGATGCAGCATAATGTTCATCTCAGTGAGCCCTGTGAACAGGGGCCCATTGAACTTCCTTCCCATTGTTTCTCTGAGTCCATAATGCGCATTTTCTTTTTTGTGTCTGTCTGTATAAGACAGTTAGGAGTTAGTCTGTATAAGGAGTTAGAGTTTTAACTAGTAGAATTATATGTTGAAGGTTCATAAATGTTTACTTGTAGCTAGAATCTATTTATTTGGAATAAATAATAATTTGAGTTGAGTACAGAAACCTGGCCCATCAATTCTATCAAACGGGGTATAAAAGACAGGTAAATTGGGAAATTTTGGTACTTTTTATAAAATCTTTAACTTTTCTGATGACTCTTGAATAGTGGTGCAAGTCCAGTGAGATACAACATCTCAAAATCCATCAATATCCTTCTCCCAGTTCACAACGGTTTTGTATCATCCACTGCCTACCCAAGTCAAGGTCATTAATAGAAATGAACAAAATTAGCTGTCTCAATACGGACTCCTGGAGATGTCTATTGCGTAGGTTTCCTCCAGTCTAATAAGTAATTGTTCACCATTCTCTTCCATTTACTGTCACTCAGTCAACTTCATGTTTATGTTGCTACCGACCTTTTTATTCCATGGGTTTTATCTTTATTGACAAATCTTTTTTTGGCAAGGGTTATCCATTCATGACTCCAGGCCAGACCTCTCAGCTAATGCAACTGGGAGACAGTGAGAAGCATGCTTCCCCAAGGAACATTTTTATAGTGCCTAAAACGCTTCCATTTCCTGGACCTCTGATGAAGCCCTGAAGTACTCAACTGATTTGAGATAGAATGTTGCACCATCTAAGACCATGAAGGAACAGCCAATTCCATCATTTATAAGGATAGAAGATGAGGAGGAGGAGGAGGACAAGTGCAGAGGCAGGATGAGGAAAGTGAGCTAGAACATAAACAGCCCCTTTCCATGTAATCTAATAACTCAAGCAATGCAAAATGACCTAAATTATAACTCTCCATTCAGCAACAATCTTATACTCTTTATCTTTCTGTCTACAGTGTCAGGTTGATCGCAATGTAAAATAAAAATTGCCACAAAGTAAACATTCTAAATCAAATTTATGACTAACATCATGCCATTCTGCATATTAAAGTCAATAATTCACATTCTTGCGATACTTGTCTTCCATGTGCATTGGTTTACCTTAGTCCTCCAACGCAGTATTACCTCAGATAGTTGAAGCTTGGCTCAAAAAGGTTGCCGACCTCTAGTTCAGAAGACTGTATGGATTTGGAGTATGAAAGGTCAGAAGTCACACGACACCGAGTTTATAATCCAACAGGTTTATTTCAAATCGCCAGCTTTCTGAGCGCTGCTCCTTCGTAAAGTGAAGTCTTGGAATCTGACTGAATAGCTTTGAGCCTTGAAAACTGGGCTTCATGCTGCATCATATTGACCTGATCTGAAGTGGTCTGGACTAACTGGGTGACTGACTGCAACAAGGACGTCAGTAGAGTTGGAGCAGGACTGATGTTTCCTTAAGAGAAGATGGCAGATTCATGGTTCATGGAGACACAAACAGTTTTACTGGATGGTGTCTCTGTAATTCCATAGATTTATCGAAGAACGGATCGATGGTGCTAAGCAGCCCTGGAAATCCCCAGTTACAATGATGACAGTCAGATCATAGCAGCTGGTTTTGTGGCAATGTGACATTGGCCAACAGATGCTGTATGTTGTTAGATTCCAGAAGTATAATGATGAAAGTGACAACACATCCAATTTGGTAAGCAAAGCTCTAAGGCCTGCACAGAACTCTTCTGGTAGGTTTCCTAATGCATCAAGAATTTTGTTATGTTTACCTATCAACTTTATATTGTAGCCTAATGCATCAAAGACATCATCAGATTCTATAGTGATTGAACTAGAGTGCAATCCATCGGAGGTTAAAGTATGTAGGCTGATTGTTCTCCTCCAGTCCTTAGCTTTTTTGCCTCTTCTTATGCAACACCAGCTCCAACAAGAAAAATGAAAGTTGTCAATGAGCATCCTGCAATTTGTTTTAGTCGTGAGATTGTCAAAGTTGAATAGCTACCAGTGTGTGCAAACTGAGAGTTGTGGGTGGAAGACTTGCAATCTTGCTACGTTTGTAAGGGTGAGAAGAACTTTCAGTGTTAGATATCGATAGACATTGTTGGTAGCCAATGACACGTAGAGAATTGAGCAGAGGATAAGGCTAGTGATGCATTTGGTTGGATATGCCATTCGAAGGTGAGCTCACTTACATTGACTAATCTGGTAAGATTATTACAATTCTTCCAGTGATTCATCTCTTTTGGAGTAACACTCCTGACACAAACTTCTGTCACTACTTTTATCACTGTCTGCTGTTTAGATTTCTAGAATGTCTCCTGCCTTCTTTCAAATATCTCTTCTTTCCTGCTCTATTGCTAAGATCTCCAGTGCATTGTGTAAAAGCCAGTATGCTTGTGCTGTCATGTATTCAGCCATTGCATGAAGTATCACAGCCCAGGTCGATTTTTGAGTTCAAAATCACTGATGTTCCTTGCTTTATCTCTCTTTTTTTCATGAACATGGAAGTTATGTTTGCTCTCTTAAAATTTGCAAGAACCATTCTAAAATCTAGAGAATGAAAGTTTAAAACCAGTGTGTCCACAGTCTCTGTAGCTTTTAAAACCCCAGAATCTGCCCAATGCATTCAAAACTTCAGACTGTTAAAAATAATTTTTGAATCCGCAATCTGACTTGAATCCTGACCGGATGACTCAATGCATTAATATCTTCCTGTAACTACAGTGACCAATCCTCTACACAGTACTCCAAATGTAATTTCCCTTCTATTGCATTCAATTCCCTGGCAATAAACTGTAACATTTTATTAGCTTTCCTGATTACTTGCTGTACCTGTATACTAACTTGTGATTCAAGCATTATGACACCAAATCTCTCTATCTCGGAGCTCTGCAATTTTTCATAGATTCCCCTTGTCTAGAGAATCTAAAACTAGGAGTCAATTTAAAAATAAGGGTATGCCCATTTAAAATAGACATGAGGAAACTTGTTTTGCTGTGAGGGTTTTGAGTCTTTGGAATTTCCTTCCTCAAAAGACAGTGGATGAGAATGTTAAGATATTTTGAAGGCAGAGGTAAATAGATTCTTGATAACCAAGCAGATGAAAGATTATCGGGGATATGCAGGAATGTAGAATTGAAGTTAAAATCAGATCAGCCATGATCTTACAGCATTGCAGAGCAGATTTGAAGGGCCAAGTAGTGGAAGGCAAGGGCTTAATGGTATTATCGCCAGACTATTAACCTGGAAACTCAGTTAATGTTCTCGGGTCCTGGGTTCAAATCCCACCATGGCAGATAGTGGAATTTGAATTCTGTGATAATCTGGAATTAAGAATCTTGTCATCACTGATGACAAGAAACTGTTATTGATTGTCAGGAAAACGCGTCTGGTTCACTAATGACCTTCAAGGAAGGAAATCTGCCATCCTCACCTGGTCTGGCCTACATGTGACTGCAGATCCACAACAATGTGGTTGATTCTCAACTCCCCTCTGAAATGGCCTAGCAAACCATTCAGTTCAAAGGCAACTAGGGTTGGGCAATAAATGCTGGCCAACCAACAATGCCCATGTCCCACAAGTGAACTTAAAAAAATACCTGTTCCTTGTTCATAAATTCAGATTAAACTCTGATAAATCACCTGCATGATGTTGTTTGTAATTCTTTGTAATTTTACTTTCAACAGATTTTTAACTTTCCAATGTCCGAGCTCAAACACAAAATGTAGAATATAGTTGGCACTTGAAGTGAATCTTGTGTCTGATACAAATAGCAGAATATGCAGTTGATCTTTGAAGTATAACATGTAGCTGTTACATGTCACGTGGCATATAGATGCATTAGTACATGCAGTGCAATGCATAGCTGTTATTCTATTAGAATATGCAATCAAATACAAACTGTTACATACTGTGAGATCATGGCTGATCTGCACATACGATTTACCAGATTTGTTACATTGCATAATTGGCAGTTGGTCTGCAATCCACATACCTCTTAAGTAGCACATTGTACTGCAGTATGACTTGGTCTTTTCCCTGAGTTCATTAAAATAAATTGAACTTAAGAAAATGATTTGCTTTTAAGTTGTATAGAGCTAGAGCACTCTGTATAATAAAGTTGTCACTTAAAACTTGCTCTTTAAAAAGTCCTGTTGTGCTTTTTTTGTTAATTTTCATTTATTTCTATGTGCATTAAAATCTGCTTTCACTGTCTTATCTTGAGCTCTTTTTAATGCTATCTATCATCAGATTGAAATGGCGATTGAGACACTCCAAAAGTCTGATGGTTTGACAGCTCACAGAAGTACTCTTCTCAACAGCCATGTAAGTTGTCTTTTCCTTCAAAACCACCTGAATCTTTCACCTGTTACAAATATCTTTTTCTGAATAATTCTGCTGCTACTTCTGCTTATTTTGTTTGTACTGACTTTTTGCATCATGTATTAGCATTTTGTATTGCTTTCCTTCCCCTTACTGGAATGAACAATCGATCATGTTGAAATGTGATGTTAGAAAAAAGTGAAATGAACATTTCCGAGTGATTCCACTGGTTTCTGACCACAACTTTGTCACAACACTGGGCGATACCTCTAGGGAGAGCAAGCAATGATCTAGGACAGAATCTTCACAGTCTGATTTCTTTTTGCTTACTGTGTTTTTGGCCCAAACTTCCAATATGGGCTAGTACCCAACTGATGAAGAGGTTAAAAGAACAAAACTTACTAGGTCTCTGTACTTAACAAGAAAATAAATGTTTATTACAAACAAACTGTCTTTAAAGAATGGCAATTATGAAATGTGAATGCTAACTTATAACTCTAAACTTAACCTCTATCCCTTCTTAAATTTCCTCCTTCAGAAGCAGTCAGATACACGGACAGGACCATAGATTCAATGAGTTGTTTCTTTTGGTTGCTTCCAACTTCTTTTAGCTCTTTGCTGTTGACGCAAGATTGCTTGCACACTAATGCTGTTTTTCATTTCCTGGTTGAGAATTTGTTTTTTTCACTGTCCTTAAAGGTGTGTTATTCCTCCTTGAGCAGGAAATTTAGCGAAAATTTAGTCAAAGACAGCTAGCTGTCAGTGAAGATATTCTGGTACTTCCACACAAGAGAGAGAGATACAAAGAGAACTTTGCCAATTGCTTTCTCTTTACAGCTTGGTACTTGTGTGTTCTGCTGGCCTCACACAAAACATGGTCATCCGATCGGGAGCCAATCACTTTTCCTTTTGTTGAGAACCCATTGGCTCTATGGTTTCTGTTTCTGTTTCTGTTTTCCCTGTCCTAGGGTAAAAACAGCATTGTATACAATTCATGTTATGTTCCAGTGAATGTGATTTTTAAAACTGCAGCCATCTCTTTGCACTATCTTCTATGTTTAAAACAGTATTTTCCTTTTTTAGTCCACAGCTCAAAAATAAATAGAAAGATGTAGTCTTTACATGATTAAAGAGGTGAACAAATAAAATGCATCACTGTCATAAAAGTGTCATAAAATAAATTTCTGTTCTGTTTTCTTAATCTGGTATTTATAAATGGAACCTCAGCTACTCTGCCCCTATCGCATGTTGTTGCCCATTCCAGATATGACTGCACCAATACCTGTTTGCTTTCTTTCCACTTTTCACGCTTCACATTTCCACCTCATATTTCTTTCCCTTTCCAATTTTATCCTTTCTCTCCTGAGTGCTCTGATGCTGGATAAAAGTCTGTAGATATTATACACCCTCATCTGAAGTAGCGAGAATCATTACTTAGTATAAGATATATAAAAACACACATATGTATAGATGTTGCTCAGCCAGTTCTAATGCTTCAGCTGACTAGTAAAATATGGTACAAGTTTACTTTTGCTGTTAGAATTTTAGATGAATTCCTAACTGGATTATGTTTTATTAATAGGCAAAGTATTCATTGTCCATATATGAGGACAGTTTGTGAAACTAATTGTTTCAAAGTGATGATAATCACAGCTTAACCAATCTTTTCCTTTACTGATGTGTATGTTTTGCGCTGGGTTTTAACAACACTCTTCCTCCATGCCTCTAAACCACCTTCACTCACCACGCACTGCCTAACCATCCCTGGTCTCCAGATCAGGCACTCGTTACTGTGACTGTTGGCTAACAGTGCTCACTACTCTACCCATTGGCTGCAAGCTGTCCAAAAGCAGGCTCCTGCCTTTCCAAATGACAGTAGCCCTGATACTAGTTAATTGGTTGCTGGATGAGCCTGAAATGCAGCCAGAGGTTCCCCACACAGGTGAGGTGGGATTTCCTCTGGCTATTGAGATGATTGTGGGAACTGCTGCACCCTGACAAAATCTAGCCCAATATTGTATTTTTATTTCAGGAATGCCAATTTTTCTCCCTTCCCAACCCATCTAATTAAGTTAATTGCATGACTCCAGTTGCTTAATCCAAATAACTAATAAAACATTGTAAAGAAGTGGAAAAGTACCATTAATTTTTCTGCCCCTATAATTGTTCTCCTTAATTGCTCAGAGTGATGTTCAGGAGATTTTAATGTTTAGTTCCATGAAAGCCCAGGACATCCTTTGAGAGATTGCAAACCTACAGTTTATTCAATATTTGTGGGAAATCCAGCCTGAGAGTTCAGTGGGTAGTGTGATTTAGTTCTGCACTTCACTGCTCATTGACAAACTGCTGCAGTAAGTCAAACGTGTTCTTAAGGTTCTTAATGTTTTCCAATGCCACCACCCAACTGGAGGAAGAGTCAGACAAACTGTCACAATTGGTTCAGCATTGCTGTTTTTGATGCTTTTTTTACAACTATATCCATATGAACATAACACTGAAATTCTAGTAAAATCTATGTAATATTAAGATTCCATATGGCTTACCCCATTTTTTTATGTTGTTCCTTGTTTCAGTCATTTATTTCGTTAAGGCAATGTGAAATTGAGCCCTGCAGATCAGGAAGTTCCAAGGTTCAATCTTTCTTGTTAATGGTTTGCAGTAAGGTTTAATGCACTGTTTTATGAGTAGGACAAGTGGACAGTGATTTATGTTGCAAGCAAATACGTGCAGACTTTAAAGCAATGTCCAAGAAAAAAATTTACATTTATGTAATGCTTTTCATGACCTCTGACATCCCAAAACACTTTATATCCAATGAAATACTCTATTTTAAAAGTATAATCACTGTTCTACATTGGAACAGGGCAGGTTTGTTCTTTGACTTGGTGTCTGTTGACACTTAGTGGGTGAAATTGAATAGACTGTGAAAAATGGCACAGGGCTTGTGATCCACAATTGCCCCATGCCCATTCAATGTGATGCAGAACTTCACACTGCCTGATGAATACAATAATGCCGTGCAGCCAAATCTAATTACCATTTTGAATGGTCGCAAGCCTCCGCAGAAGGCCTAAAATCGTAAAAGGCTCTTACCAGTTAAAGTTAGGCTGCAGTACTTAAACGAGTGTTGCAGTGAGGTTGAAGCATTTGGTTCAAGTCTTCATACAAATCATCTTATCATGGAAGAAAAGTGAATAATGATTCAACTCCCAAGGTTCCGAGATACTGCATTGAAAACTTTGTCAATGAAGACTTTTCAGTGGTGTTACCATAGTTGAATCCTCCCAAAATTAATATCTTGGGGGCTCCCATTGACCAAAGTCTGAACTGGGCAAGCCACACAAAATACAAGAGCAAATCAGATTCTTGGAATCCTGTAGTGAGTAACTCCAGCTCTTGGCTCCCTAAAGCCTTTCTTTGTTTAGCAACACTCCCCTGGACCTTACCATTAAGTGCGTAAGTCCTACGCTGATTTGCCTTTCCAAAATGCTGCACCTCGCATTTATCTAAATTAAACTCCATCTGCTACTCCTCGCCGATTGGCCCATCTGATCAAGATTACTTTCAGCTCATGTCACTCTAGGATTCAGTGCTTTTGTCCATGTTTGAATCAAGGCTGTAATGAGGTCAGGAGCTGAGTGGCACTGTACTGAAAAGAAAAAATACTCGAAATCTCAGTGGGGCAGGCAGCATCCATGGAGAGAGAGAGAGAGCGCAATTTAATGTTTTGAGTCTAGATGACTCTGAAGTGTAGAGGGGACAGCATTTATGCAGTAGTGGTGGGGCAGAGTGCTGGGGGAGAAAAACTGCTGATATTGTAAATTAAGTGATTGGAATGTGAGAATGGCAGAATAATGGGGTGTTTAACTGCCAAACTGGAAAGAACAGATAGTCACGTTGGAGTGAGGGGAGGTTAGAGAATGCAACACGTAAAGCTAAAAAAAAAAGAAAGAAGTGGGAGCGAGTTCACAGTCTGAAGGTGGTGAGCTCAATATTAAGGCCAGAAGGTTGTAAAGTGCCTAGTCTGAAGACAAGATATTCCTCCAGTTTACCTGTGATTTGCTGGAGCATGCCAAGGTCAGACAAGTGGACATGCAATCAGGATACTTTGTCAAAATGACCAGCTACGGGAAGCCTGGGGCCATCCTTGTGCATGGACCGGTGGTGTTCTGCAAAGCAGTCACCCACTCTGTGTTTGGTTTCTCCACTGTAGAGTAGGCCACATTAAGTGCAGCAAATACAATAGACCAGATTGGAGGAGGTACAGGTGAAATGCTGCTTCACCTGGAAAGACTGTGAGCAGGGAGGAGGTGAAGGGGCAGGTGTTGCACCTTCTGCAGTTACATGGAAAGGTGCAGTGGGAAGAGGGGTGGTGTTGGTAGCAGTGAAATGGACTAGTGTCCTGGAGGGAACAATCCCTGCTAAATGCAGATGGGGTGGGGGTGACAGGAAGATGTGTTTACTGGTGGTGTTCTGCTGGAGTTGTCTGAAATGGCAGTGGATGATCCTTTGAATGTGGAGGCTGGTGGGATGAAAAGTGAGAACAAGGGGGACCAGATCATGCTGTTGTGAGTGATAGGAAGGGGCAAGGGTGGATGCAAATGTGATAGGTCAGTTTCAGTTGAGGGTCCTATCAACCCTGTCAAAATCTTTTTGACCATTGTGTCAGAATGTATTGACAACAATTTGTTAATGCATCATGATTGATAATAGCTATACATTTTAAGTTATTGTGGAACAGTTCGAACAATGTTAAATTTCAGAAGATTTAGTATGTATGAATTGCCATGGGGAGCTATTTATTGGATGCCTACTACACCACTTAAGAGATTTTGACAGACTTGCAGCAGAGTGTTGATTGACTGGAAGTCAGGCTTGCCACTGCCCATTGAGGACGACATTCTGCTGCAGAGCGCTGCCGTCTTATGTGACTGTCTGTCTAACAGAGTTCTCTACTACTAGTAGTGCCACCAGAGTCTTTTTTTATTTAATTCCTTCACAGG